TTTAACAAATCCGTGAGAGGTTTACCAATAACTCCATAATTCTTCACAAACTTCCTGTAATAGCCTGTAAGACCAAGAAAACCACGCAACTCTTTCACAGTTCTTGGAACTGGCCACTTTACCATTGCTTCAATCTTAGCAGGGTCTGTAGTAACTCCATCCTGATTGATTATATAGCCCAAGTAATCAATCTGAGTTCTGCCAAAAGCACACTTCGATGGCTTAGCAAAGAGAGAATTCTCTCTTAAGATAGTAAGAGCTGTTGCCAAATGTTGTTTGTGGCTCTCCTGATCCGGGCTGTAGATCAAAATATCATCGAAAAACACCAAAATAAATTTCCTCAGGTAAGGACCAATTATCTTGTTCATGAGTGCTTGGAAAGTTGCAGGGGCATTGCTGAGGCCAAAGGGCATCACAGTGAATTCATAGAGACCCTGATGTGTTCGAAATGCTGTCTTGTGCAAATCCGGTGGGCTCATCCGAATCTGGTGATAGCCTGACAGTAAATCGAGCTTAGTAAAAAAATTTGATCCCCTGAGTTCATCCAAGAGGTCGTCAATCACAGGTATATGAAATTTGTCTTTTATAGTGAGATCATTCAATTTCCTGTAGTCCACACAAAATCTCCAAGAGCCATCTTTCTTAAGCACCAACAACACTGGGGAAGCGTAGGGACTTCTGCTGGGTTGGATGTATTGAGCAGCTAACATTTCCTTCACAAGTCTATCCATTTCATTTTTCTGGGGAATAGAGTACCTGTAAGGTCTGAGATTTACAGGTTGGGAGTTTGGTTGGAGGGGTATAGTGTGATCATAGTCCCTCGAGGGTGGTAATGACTGAGGCTTGCCAAAAACGTCACTGAACTCCTTTAGCACTGCATCCAAAAACGGGGGTGGTTGGTCCTTCTCACTGACTGGTGCAGGCATCCCATCCAAGTGGTCTAGTACTGCCAAACTGCAAATCTGACCCACGAAAGCAATTTCAGAACGATTCCACAATTTTTGTAAACTTCTGCCTGATATCATCTTACATTGAGCCATATCCTGGATGCCCTGCAACACCACTTCCTGTCCTTCCCACTCAAAGTAAAGCTTTAAGTCCATGAAATCAAACTTAACTGGGCTAATTGTTCTAAGCCAGTCAAGTCCCAAAACTGCATCATTTGATCCCAAACTGAGGATTCTCATATCATAGAAGAATTTATTTCCTGCATTTCCCAGTAGAATCCTTTACAAACCCATTGACTGAGTAGCACAATTCCATCAGCCAGCTTGACACGTAAGGGATGACTGTCCAGCTCTAACTGGCACTGGAGTTCCTTTGCTTTTTTCTCACTGAGAAACGAGTGAGTACTGCTAGTGTCTAGAAGAATGAAAATCTTCTCTTTCTTAACCCTTCCTTGCACTATAAACGAATTAGTCAAGCCTCCACTATTAAGAGCTTGCATTGACACTTCTTCCAGCTCAGGATGTTCCATTTCTAAATTTGGCTCGGCCACTTCCTCTTCATATGGCCCACTCCACTCCTCAGAACTTTCATCTCCATTCCCAGCTTGCAGCACATTAAGATGTTTCTTAACCCCACACACATGACCAAATAAATAGCGATCACCACACTTGTAACAAACTCCCCTGGCCCCATTACCCTTCGAAGGAGGCATAGTAGTCTTAGCTCCTGCAGAAGGTTTGCCAGTAGCACCTTCCCAACAACGAACAGGAATAGTAGAGTTGCTGCTGGAAGACATGTTTGGACGGCTAGGAGCACCATGACCCCCACGCCACTTCCTTTGTTGAGCCACGTTCGATTCTTCTTGTAGTTGAGCCAGCTGAAAAGCATCAGCCAACGTCTGAGGTTTCCACATCTGCATTACAGGCCTCAACTCCTCCTCGAGACCACTAATAAAACTGCTGATGAAATAGATGTCATCGAGAGCCGGATTAAAACGAGCCATTAAGGACCTTAATTCCTTGAATTTCTCTTGATACTCTGCTGAGGACCCTCGCTATCAGAGCTTATTAAACTCGGCCACCACACCTCCATAAGAACGATTACCAAACCGTTGGCACAATGCTGCGACAAACTCCTCCCATACCATTTCCGTTCTGCCAATCTTCCAACCCTCAACCCATAAATCCGCACGGCACTGAAAATAGATCACCGCCAAATTGACTTTCTGATCATTAGGTATCGCATAGATGTCAAAGAGTTTCTCACACTTTCTTGTCCATTCACGAGGATCTTCACCGTTAAAGGAAGGAAAATCAAGGCGGGGAAGCTGATGGTTATTACCTGGGGCTAGAGCTGGAAAAGGCTCCCGCTCGACAACACGAGGAAACGGAGCTTGAACCCTAGGCGCCTGCACCACGGCAGGATCCACCCCTTGAAAACCTTGCGGAGGTAACGAAGAATGCATCGGCCGCCATTCCGGTCTCCCAACGGAACTGCCGCACCGGCAATAGGGCCCGGTGGCCTCGGATTAACAACCAATTGCAGCATCTCGCGAATTTCCGTAGTGAAATTTCCAAAACGCGTATCCAAATGTTCTTCGATCTCGGTCAAACGAGTTGCAGTACCTGCTTCCAGGGAATCCAATCGAGCCGTCAGATTAACGAATTGTTGCGAGTGACCTTCCGAACGAGTCACGAGCTCCTGAAACCGAGTTGCCTGAGAGGAGACGAGACTCTGGACGTCAGGATCTTGTCGTCCAAGTCACACTGCGCCTGCGTCGTCGACGCCATAAGATTGGTGAGACGCTCGTCAATCGAACCACGTGTCGTTGCCATTCTGAAATAGTGCCAAGCGAAGGCTCTGATACCACCTTGTAACCCCTGGGAAGCTCAGATTGGCTTGGCAATGGAGGATTGAGAGGAAGAATGAGAGAAGAGGAGACGAGAACAGAGAAGAAGACGAGAGAGAGAGAGAGAGAGAGAGAGAGAGAGAGAGAAGAGAGAAGGGAAAGTAGAGTTGTTATTAATTGGGCAAAAATTGGTTACAATAGTCTTGGCGGTCCTTATTTATACAACTTACCCAAATTCCCCCTTTCACTCCCTCAACTTCTATCTATTTACATTTCAGCCCGCTTGTTACACGGGCTGGGTGAGAAGCCGAAGAAGAGTTTCTAGATCAATTGATGAGTTTGCGCGCTGCCAATCTATCAAACCTAACAAAGCATTAAGCATGTTCCTTGAGACCATTAACGCATTAGCATAGCTGCCCGTAAATTTAATTAAGGCAAAATACACTTGTATATCCATAACTTTCACGTTTGTGACAAATATATCCATAACTATCGAAATACACAAAATACCCAATTCCGTCCATTTTGTTAACGGCGTCAGTTGATGGTATAACTAGACTAACGGTAAAAGCTGAGTTGGCGATTGATTTACCCCACCAAATGACGTGGATTGTAAAGAAAAAAATAACAAAAATTAAAATACAAAACAGAAAGAGAAAGAGAAAGAGACGCGACCTTCCATCTTCCTCCTTCTTTGAATCTCCCCATCAATCTCTCTTCCAACATCAGATCTACCCTTCTTCTTCTTTGCATCTCAGTCCCAACATTCGATCTCCCCCCTTCTTCTTCGAATCCCCCCGTCAATCTCTCTCCCAACCTTCAACCCGGATTCATAACTGTCGGTCAAGCACCCCGAAAACCGGCTTCTGGTTCACGTACTCGAACATCGACCCAATCTGCATCACCAGCAGCACCACAATCGTGAGATTTCTGCAAGAAATTACAGGTCTTGGCGGAGGATTGAATTTCAATTTGGGTATTCTTTTCTGAAGATTACGACGGCGATTGCAGTGATTGCGGAGGCGAGGAGATAAGCGAAGAAGGGGATCTTAAATTCTTCCCCGCCAGTAGTCACTTTGGCGGCTTCTCCCGTAGCCCACGGAGGCGGTTCGTCCGAATTGGGGTCTGTCCAAGACGGTATCGATGACGATGATGGTTTGTCCGGTTTCTTGCCCGAACTCGACCCGACCACAAACCTTATCCTCCTCGTCTTCTGTCTACGAGAGTTTAAAAAGCTATAATCGCCGGCGTGTTTCTCCGACTCGCCGATTCGCGCAATGGGATTCGCCGATTTTCTCAGGCGCGCGGTTGGGAGGAAGTAGCAGTAGGAGGAGGAGACGCACGTGGATGCAACCATTGCCGCTGATACTCGAAATTGATGTGGTGAAGAGCTTCCGCCGGCGGTTGTGGATCCAAATCTCTTTTGCCTAATAAGCTTCTTCTCAGTGGTAGCAGTTGGCAGGGGAAGAGCCAACTTCTTATCAAAATTCCCAGAACTCGATTTTCCCCTTTCCTCCTTTTGTTTGATGTTGGAGCAAGGGAGAGAAGAAATCAATGTGGCAGAGATAATTATTTTTATTTTTTATTTTTTGCTGACATGGCGTCTACATGTCAAATTTTGCTGACCTGGAGCTTAGGTGTGGTATGGGAATGGTCCTAGTCAGCATTCCGTCACATTTACTGACGCCGTAACAAACGGCATTAAAGTTTGTAACGGAAATGGATAGATTTGTCACACGATAGTACGCTTTTCTGGGTATTTCGTGTATTTCGATAGTTATGGATATATTTGTCACAAACGTGAAAGTTATGGATATAGAAGTGTATTTTTCCTTTAATTAATATACCCTGCCCACGTGGGTGAGAAGTAAGCTTAGCCTTAGCTCCAGCCTCCAGGTCCGGAGAAAGAAGGAGATATGATATGGGATGCAAATTGGGCTCCGCAATTGTGGAACAGAACCTTTACAGAGAAACTGGGCCTCGCCCAATCAATTAATTGGGCCAGGGAGATTTCAGAAAATTGGGCTCCATAATACCTTTATATGATTTATCATGCACTATAATATCTCAACTTATAAAACTTTACAAACAAGTCCAACCAAGAACGAGTGTTGCATTTGCATAGTGGAAGCAATAACAAGGTCAAAGTGAAGTCTATATGATGAGTAACCATACCCTAGATGCAATGGATGACAGATACATGCCTAAGTTTACACATTGACGATTAGTTAAATTACTCTTTTAAGTACTGCAGCAACCAGAACATTCAACAGTAACAGCTAAACATCATCACTTTAAATCAAAAAGAAGAAAGCTACAGATCAGAGAATACAAAATAGTGCATTTCTAAAGCACACATGGACTTAAATATGACAAGGAAATAGTACAATGTTCTGTCTCCTGCGCTAGATAAATCAGAACAATCACACAAAGCTAACATGAAGAGGGGAAGTCTTTCTCTCTTTCTCTCTACTACAATTGGCAAAGTCACCGGCCGGAAAGCACATTGCATAATCACTGCCGCTTTGAATCACAGACAAGACCCTCAACTTAACTTACAGAAACAGTCCCTGGAACAGGGGCGGAATGAGGGAGAACCCTTGCAAAGGTGCAAACTTTGCAAGGATTTCGGCCTCCCGCTTCACTGCATTACTCCTCTTCAGATCCCACTCGGGGATCTTGGAGTTGGAGATTTGAATCTCGTGCACAACATTCGGAATCGCATTCGCCACCATCTTCTGTGCGTAGCTCACCTCCACCTTAGCCGCTTTGTTTGATTCCACTGCACCGATCAACTCTGCTCGACGAACTTGGAGCCTAGCAATCTCATTGTCGATGTCTTGCACAGTCGACAAGTTACCGTCTATCTGTGCCTGAAGCTGGTCTGTTTTGTCCTTCAGCTCGCTGTACTCGCTCTTGAGAGAAGCGACTTTGGCCTTGTTCGCCTCCAGGGTTCCGTAATGCCTGTCGATTTGGACAATGATATCCCTACTCTCGTGGAAAACCTCCCTGAAAGACGACATTTCCTCAATCAACTTCAGCTTGACAAGCTGTTCGGCAGTCAGGCGAGGATCATTCTGTAGTTTTGAAGCCAAAGCCAGGAGTTCAGAGAAGTTCTTGGAGGAAACTAGTGTAGGGAAGTCCATAACCAGCAAGGAAGAAAGCCTGTGACGAGCTTCAGCTATCTCATCATCGTCCACCGGAGGAGAATCCCTAGCCATTGTTGTTGACTGACCAGCAACTATGCCGTCAGAAAATGGCTGGGCGATGATGTCTTCTAGAGAGTTGAGGTAGTTGTCGAAGTCTTCTGGGATAGTAATGTTAAACTCCTCTGCCTGGGTATTATTTCCATCGTCGGCAAAAGGGACAGGGACAGTTTGTTTACCAGCATGCCTACTTCTTCGCTTGGCTGCAGATGATGAGGGAGCTGCTGTTTTGTCTTTTGTTTTTTTCGGGTTCGTTGCAGATGATTTAGAAGCACTGCGCTGTCGTTTCTGCTTGGGCGGAGGTGGGGATGGAGGTGGTGGAGTTGGTGCTTTAGGCTTCCTTTTCCTCAACCGAGAGCCTTCTCCTTGCACTTGCACTTCCCCTTTTGAGCCATCACCGTGAGAAGGCTTTGGGAAAGAGGTGGAGATGGGTTCCACTGCAATTCACAGATGAGTGATTCCCGATTCAAATAAACTTCAGCAAACGATCCTTTACTCATATATACTCTATGAAGAATACAGTGTCTCTAGATATAGACTATACACTAATCGAAATGGGAAGACTTCATTAACACATACCAAATGCTGTGTACTTAAAATGCATAACTAGTTTAATCTCAAGCAAGGGACGCATAATTTTTTGAACTTGTTACAAGCAGCACATAATTACTACTGAAAGATGATGAACAGAGAAGATTCCGAAATGTTTAAGCTGACCTTTCAGAGGAGACGCCGCCTTCCCAGGGACCTTCCAAGAGAAGGACGAGAAAAATGCATCAGCATTAGCATCTGGAAACACCGTCCGGATGTAAGAGGTCACAGCATTTGGGCTTGCAAATGGAGGTCTCGCCCCTGTCACTTTGGGGAAATGTTTTGGAGGATACAGAAACCTATCCTGGAAAAACCCAGCAGTGTTAATCCTCTTCCCTACCTTCCAGGTCCAGTTGTCACCCGGGTTCGGCCAGTTAACAGGAGCATATGGCAGACCTTCACCACTAGAACCCTGCTGGACAGCCCCATTAGGCTGATCAGTCTCAAGATGCTCCCCTTCGTTCAAAATATCACTGCTATTTAACTCATTAACAACGCTGCTAATAACGTGATTTAGCAGGGATTTCTTGTCTTCTTGAGCTGCACCATTGTGAGCAAACGGATTACCACCATTGGGGATTCCATTCCCTACAAGCTGATCGTTCTGCTGACCGTGGATTGGAGACCGAGGACCGTAGCCCCTGGTGTTCACAATAGGAAAACAAACTTCTCTCAGCAACATGACAAACCTAGCCCTAAAGTAAAACTATCCGCTGGGTATGCTCCAAATAACCTCAGATTTTGAGTCAATTATCTAACTTTACTACGGAAAAAAGAAAAATCCGTACTCCGCCTGAGCGATGAACTCCGGTGATAGAAAGCCAGCCGACGGGCAGGTTGGGTGTGGCCGATTGGAGGGGTGTTTATGTTTTAATTTTCCATTATTTTTCAAAACTCTCTTATTTAAGGATTTAGAATAGCCACTTTGATATTATAAATAGAAAAACATTGAAAAACCAATCACTAATCTTCTTCTCTCTCTGCTCAAATTCTTCTCAATCCCCGAATTCTCAACCCTAATTTTTTCCACAGATTACTTAGTTTCTATCAATGGTATCAGAGCCACGATTAGTTCGTCACAACTCACAACTTAAGAGAGGCCGCTTAAGTGAAAACTCAATCCCTAATCTTCTCTCTCTGCACTTCGGACCCTCTTCCCAATTTCTTCCCCAAATTCTTCTCAATCCCCAAATTCTCAACCCTAATCTTATACTCGAACTACTTCGTTTCAATCATCCAGATACTGAACAGGAAGACTCTTTTTTACTACCGCATAAGACAGATCTAGACAAATAACAGAACGAAATAGGAGCCACTCGTTCACCATTCGGAATTAAGATACCGAAATTCCGGTGACATCGAATTCAGCTCCGGCTTTGGAAAATTGAAGCCAGAGGCGAATGAATCCGTTGCTACTTTCCCCCACCAGAGGAAAGCTTGATAATAAATGGCCTCAAAGGACAAAAGAAAGCTTACTCGTCGACGGGCTCTTCCTGCAAGTCCCAAGGAGCTATGAAGTGGTCCGACATAGAGGAAATCCGCTCAAAACTGCACCATGGGGGGATAACCATAAGAGAGAGAATAATCAGACCTCAATTGGAGAAGATCCTAAACTCAGAGCCAGCACAAGGAAGAAGTAAAGTATGTTTTCTGGAGAAGAGGTAGGACGGGTTGACTCACTGGGTTACGAACTGAATTAAGAGACGGCCAGTCGGGCAGATCGGGATCGAAGCTGATCTCTCAGCTTCTATCTACGAGCTGAAGGTTGAAGAAGACAGTTGTTGGACTGAGGAAATGGGGAAAGTTGAAATTCTCATTTGGCGATATGCATAGGGCAAATAAAAAAGAGTGAAAGTCGAGAGTGAGCAGTCCTCCGATCGTATGCTGGGTTTTTTGTCCGAAAATTCAACAGCATTATTTTGATGTGCTTATGCGGGCTGCCAAGAATTTACATGAGTGCCCTCGCGCTGGTGATTCATATAAATATTGTAAAAATAAAATATATCTACACAATATATAAAAGCATAAGGGGAAAAATTGGAACCCCATTTTAAAAATACTGCACGCAGAGGAATTGTCGGAGGGGTAATTTCGGTAGCCTTTTTCGGATGGGAAATCAAGTCCACTTGTACCATAGTGGGCTACTGGGCCGGGCCATTAGTGTTTTCTAGAAATTGAATTACACGCACCACACCGCAATCTTCTCCGAACGAAGTTCTCACCAGTCACCACCAACATGCTCCCCTCCCGCCGACGAGCCGCAACTTCTTCTTCCGGTGGGCCTGCATGAGGATGGAACGGAGGCTTTACCTTCAAAATCCGGGTCCAGCTCTGTACTTGCGCCGGCTATCTTGAAGTAGGTTTTTATAGCCAAAATCAACCCTCCGCTTTGAATCGCAGACACATTTTCTTCCCATCGAAGAAGAGTTACATGGACTCTGTCGTTAGAATCAAATAAGTTCGAATCCACACATGGTTGAGTTCAATTAGTCCAATTGGGTGTTTTTATTTTTTATTGCAAAAATGGCATTCGGTTTTGAAGACGCTAGCAAAGGAAGCTGTAACAGAGAGAACTGATGATCCAACTTGCAGCAGCCTTGCTGTGAGAAGGAATGAAGGCTCTGCTGTTGCTGAGGAACAACGAAGAATGAAGAACAAGGCAGAGCCTCAAGCGGCGCCGTTTACAAGAGAAGAAGAAAGGAAGCAAAACGCAGCGTTCGGGCTAACAGCCTAGCTTCCGGTTTTACTGTGCAATTTACACGTGTATAGCTTTGATAGGTTTAATTCATTTGTTAGTTTTAGTTACCGTTAAGATGTAATTAGCTGCTTGTGTATATATGGTTCTGATGATCAATGGAAAGCTCTAACGAGCAATTTCCCCCAAAACTCTGATTTTTCTCATGGTATCAGAGCCTGGTTGCTCTCAATACTAGGGTTTCATTCCCCATTTCACTCACCTTCTCTTCTGCTTTCCATTTCCAGATCGTCATCCCAAATCGTCACCACCATTACCTCACTTCCCCTCTTTTCACTCTTCTTAACCAAAGACGATGGACACTGGATCTGGAGATGACCCAACCAAATCTGGATCTAGTGCTGAGAACGCTGGGAAATCCATTCTGGCGAACTTTCCCCAGTATGAAGATCCATATCTAAATCCCTACTACCTACCACCACAGGATGGCGCTCTGTCAACAATCATCTCCATCAAGCTGGGAGATGGAAACTACCACACCTGGAGCCAAGTCATGCTGGTTGCTCTCGCCACCAAGAACAAGATCCCGTTCATAGATGGACAGATTCCAGTCCCTCAGGTAACAGATCCCATTTACCAATCCTGGCTTCGTTGCAATGGAACTATTCGCTGTTGGGTCTACAATGCTTTAGCTGAGGACATAGCGAATAGTGTGATGAGACTTGAGAATGCTAAGGATGTTTGGGATAATCTGAAGAACCGTTTCACTCAGGAAGACAATATGAGGGTTTATGACCTCAATGAGTTGTTGGGTAAGTGTGTTCAGGGTGAGAAGTCAGTGACTCAATACTTTACTGATATCACTGTGCTGTGGGAGGAGTATAAGAGGTATAGACCTATACCTAATTGCCCTTGCAATGGTCCTTATGAGGTGATGAAGAGGTATCAAGATAATGACTTCATTATCAAGTTTATGCAAGGTCTCAATGACTCATATCAGTCTGCAAGAACCCAAGTGCTAATGAACCCTGTTCTCCCTAGCATTGATGTTGTCTTCAAGCAAATTGTACAGCTTGAGAGACAGATGAAGTGTGTCAACAAGAACAAGGGAGTGGAGTCAGTAGCACTTGCAGCAGCATCCAACAACAACAGTCAAGGATCTCAACACCCACAAACCAGTGATAGAGACTACAAGAATGGGAAAAAGTTTTGCAGGTACTGCAAGAAAGAGTACCACACTGTGTTTGAATGCCTTAAGTTGAAAAACAAAAAGGCAAGAGAAGCTGGAGGAGGCAGTTTTGCTGGTTCAGTGGAAACTGGAAATGAACCAGAAGGTATCTCAGTGAAGAGAAGCCCTGACTTGCAAACCAAAGATGGAGGTTTGGCAAGCCTTCAGCTGAGCAGTCAGCAAATGGAAAAATTGAAGATACTCCTACTGGGATCTCCTTCACCATCACCTTCTCCACCAACATCACCTTCAATCAGACCCTCTGCTAATGCTGTTGTGACTCAGTATCAGCCAATGCACCTTCCCTCAAGCTCAGGTACTACAGTCTTGTCTACACTCTTAGCCAATACTGCAGAACCACTTTGGGTGCTTGATACTGGGGCAACTGACCATATAATTTGCCATTTGAAGTATTTCTTGAAATACAAGCCCTTAGATGGGATATATGTCAATCTACCTAATGGAAATAGGGTACAGGCCACACACATAGGAGTTGTCAAACTTCCCTATGACTTGTTTCTTTCACAAGTCCTGTTTGTACCAAGTTTTTCTTACAATTTGGTTTCAGTTAGCAAACTTACCAAAACAAACCCTGTCTCACTCTTATTCAAATCCTCTTTCTGTGTTATACAGGACCTTATTACACAGAGGAGGATTGGTTTAGCCCAGGTCGATAAGGGTCTATACCTGTTCAACCACAAAGAAGCCAATGCTAATTCCCTACCTAAGTGCTTTGCCACAACTCACTTCAACTTCCAGCCTCAGAATTTTGATCTCTGGCATGCCAGACTTGGCCATCCCTACATAGCTAGAGTAGAAGCTATACACAAACAGTTTCCTAATGTCATACCTTCACAAATAGTTCATTGTAATGTTTGCCATTTGGCAAAACAGAAACGTTTTCCTTTTCCTTCTAGTTCTTCTGTCAATCCCACTGTGTTTGGTTTGTTACATGTGGATATTTGGGGGCCTTTGAGCACTCAATCTTACAACAGTTTTAGCTACTTTTTGACCATCGTTGATGATTGTAGTAGATGTGTGTGGACCTACTTAATGAAAACTAAAGATGAAACCAGAAATTTGCTTCAATCCTTCTGTGTTATGGTTGAGAATCAGTTCCAAAAATCTGTCCAGATTATTAGATCAGATCAAGGACAGGAGTTTCATATGGATGAGTTTTACAAGTTGCATGGGATTGAGCACCAGATGAGTGTGGTTTACACTCCCCAACAGAATGGGAGAGTAGAGAGGAAACACCAACATCTTCTCAATGTTGCTAGGGCTCTCAAGTTCCAGTCAGGCCTCCCATTGTCATACTGGAGTGAGTTTGTGCTCCATGCTGCCTACCTTATCAACCGTTTACCTACCCCAGTTTTGAGCAACAAATCACCCTTTGAGATGTTGTATGGCTTTCCTCCAGACTATAGCACTCTTAGGGTGTTTGGTTGCCTTGTTTATGCCTCTACTGCAGGACCCCATAGAAAAAAATTCACACCCAGAGCCAAACAATGTGTGTTCTTAGGAATCCCAGTAGGCATCAAAGGGTTCAAGTTGCTTGACCTTGAAACAAAAAGAGTATTCATCTCCAGGGATGTTCATTTTTATGAACACATCATCCCTTATGCAACCTCATCCTCTCCTGACCCCAGTCTTTCCCCTACTGATTTCTTCTCCACACCTACTTCTTTTCCCATACCATCTACCACCTACACACCAAATCAACCAACTCAACCCACTGACACCCCAGTTTCAGTAGATCATCAGTCTGCAGGGGGCACTCACACTCCCTTGCCCTCTTCTTCCACTCATCCTGATGATCCACCACACACTCCTGCCATTTCCCCTATTCCCTTTTCATTACCTTCTTCCCCAGCTCCCTCTACATCCCATGATTCCACCCCTGTCACTTTCTCACCACCACACTCATCACCTACTCCACCTCTTGCCCAAAGAAAACCCACCAGAACAACTAGACCACCCAACTGGCATGATGATTATTCTGTCCAGTACCCCCATTAGCAAAGCCATGTCCTATAGCCACCTTTCACCTAAACACCAACACTTCATTAACAGCCTTGCTACCTACACTGAACCAACCTCATATGAGGAAGCTATCAAAGATCCAAACTGGAATAAGGCAGCACAGGATGAATTGAAGGCTCTTTGTGACAATGGGACATGGGAGATCAAATTTCCACCACCAGGAAAGAAGATCATTGGAAACAAATGGGTGTGGAAGTTGAAGTTAAATTCTGATGGAACAATAGAGAGACATAAAGCAAGGGTGGTAGCTAAGGGTTTCACCCAAATCTATGGGATTGACTACTGTGACACCTTTTCACCAGTAGCAAAGTTGAGTTCTGTGAAAACCTTACTAGCAGTAGCAGCTACACAGGGGTGGCACTTACATCAAATGGATGTAAGTAATGCCTTTCTAAATGGGGACCTAACTGAAGAGGTCTATATGGAAATTCCACCTGGTTTGGATGATCAGGCAGCTAAAGAAGGGAAAGTTTGTCACCTGAAAAAGTCAATCTATGGCCTTAAACAAGCAAGCAAACAATGGTACATGAAGCTAACAGAATGCTTGTTAAGACATGGATTCAAACAATCTGCTTGTGATTATTCCATCTTTACTGCTCAGATTCTTGGAGATATTAGCTTTGCTGTGCAGCAACTATGTCAGTTCCAGGATAATCCCACCTCCCTGCATCTAAGAGCATTACATAGGGTTCTCAGATACCTAAAGAGCTCACCAGGTCAGGGATTACTTTATCCAAGGGAAAATACTCTTGCTCTTACAGGGTTCAGTGACTCAGATTGGGCAACTTGTCCTGATTCAAGGAAATCTATCACTTGGCTATTGTACCTTCCTTGGCTCAGGAATTGTCACTTGGAAGAGCAAGAAGCAGAGGACAGTTTCGAGATCGTCTTCTGAAGCTGAGTACAGGGCTTTGGCTAGCCTGAGCTGTGAAATTGAGTGGTTGATCAGGTTGTTGAAGGACTTTGGAGTCACACATGAGCACCCAGTCAAAGTCTACTGTGACAACCAGTCAGCAATCCACATGGCCGAGAACCCAGTGTTCCATGAAAGGACGAAACATATCGATGTGGATTGCCATGTGATCAGAGAACGTGTTCAATCTGGTTTGATCTCTCTTCACCATATGCCAACAGAATCACAGCTAGCAGACATTTTTACCAAAAGTCTACCGATTGATCGCTTTGCTCTTTTGTTATCCAAGCTGGGAGTATATGATCTATACTCGCCAGCTTCTGGGAGGGTAACAGAGAGAACTGATGATCCAACTTGCAGCAGCCTTGCTGTGAGAAGGAATGAAGGCTCTGCTGTTGCTGAGGAACAACGAAGAATGAAGAACAAGGCAGAGCCTCAAGCGGCGCCGTTTACAAGAGAAGAAGAAAGGAAGCAAAACGCAGCGTTCAGGCTAACAGCCTAGCTTCCGGTTTTACTGTGCAATTTACACGTGTATAGCTTTGATAGGTTTAATTCATTTGTTAGTTTTAGTTACCGTTAAGATGTAATTAGCTACTTGTGTATATATGGTTCTGATGATCAATGGAAAGCTCTAACGAGCAATTTCCCCCAAAACTCTGATTCTTCTCAAGCTGCACTGGAGTTCGCGGCAAGAATGGGATTGATTTGGTGGCGATCCATCTGGCAACGTGTTTGGGGCTATTGTTGCAGCTTGGACTGAATGCAAGCACTGTTGTGTTGAAACAAATGCTGGAAGGATTCTTTGAATTCATGTATTCTGGAGAATCCATCGTTTTTTGTTCCAAAACTTTATTCAATACATGCATTTGAGGTGGGCACTCAAATCTCATATCACCCACAATCACTCATTTTAAATCTCAACAAAAAGGTGAGATTCTTCCTTTGAGATTGTTGGCTTTAATTTATTTCACTTTTAGCTCATATAGTGATTTTTTCTTTTCTTTAAAAATTTTGAATGACTACAACCAAACAAGACATTCTTCCAATCATCTAATTCTAACAATCTTTGTATTGACAATAGATGTATTCATCAAATACACATATTTGAAGAATCTCAATTTCCAAACGACCCCTAATTGTCATTATGTGATCCAATACAATTCTTGCTATGGGGATTATTTGTTTTTGTCCTTGGGATACAGATGACAGGTTGGGATGGTGGCAATGGTGTTTGATCCTCCTGCAGCAGGACAAAATGTTGGTAAGCAAGTGAGGAACAGACCCAAATGGGGTACAGGACAGCCTGGAGGGAAGAAAGCCGCAGTCTTCCATTATTCGATCTTATGTGAGATAGTTGGATTTTCCAAAATCAGCTGGGTTTCCTACCTTGCCCCTTCTTCCTGTTGTGATGTAATTGCGCCAGTCATAGGATGGCCTACCATGTGGTATTTCATCGTATATTGTTTTTAACTTGGATGAAGCTTGAGTTGCTAAATAATTTAGATCAGATGCTAAATGGTGTCTCGGTTTAGGATAAAGGTCATAGTATTTGTTATTGAGTCTGTTGCGCCAGCTGTATTTTGCATTTTAAGGCCAAATTGTTTTCTTGCTGCTTATTTCTTTGTTACTATTGTGCTTAGTGTTGGAAGTTAAATGCTATACCATGTGAGTGGAAACTTGGTTGTCACTCCTATGATCAAGGGACTTTTTTTGTGATCAAGGGATTCACGGGGTCAAAACTTCTCCGTTTTTAGCCTCCCCATATTTCCCGATCATTGCATTCCAGTTTTGATGTGTTTCCATTCTCTCTCTCTCTCTATGTTCCATCGTTTGCTAACTATATTGGAGAAGAGAGATTTCAATTAAACAAGTAAAATTTCTCAAAGCTGCATTTCTTGGGTTCTCCTCTGCTCAATCTCTATCAATTCTCATTTGTGGTTGTACTTAACTTAGTTTCTTTTATGAAACCAGTAATAATGCTCCAGAATGAATAACTGCAGTCAAAATCGAGATTTTACGTAAAATCGAAAACTGAGGTAGAATAGATTAAAATCGTAATATTTTAAGGTTCACACTTAGAACACCATATTGTAAGAAAAATGCATATCCTGAATATCAATTAACCACATAAAACACAATTACTTCATAAGTTTGTTTGCTAAATAAACACAATTAAATCCATATATTTATTCTTGTACATAATATAAACACACAAATAAGCAACCTAAACCTCGTAGAAATCACTTAATTAATAGTTAAGAGTAGAAAATCACATAAGATTATTAGGATCAACATTAACATCACTTACATATCATCGACATCATTCTCACGTTCACCTTCACTCTCATCCTTGTCTATTTGCTTGATGACTAATATCATCACTCTTAGGATCACTTGACGTACTTTCACCATTAACCATATTTCCTTTATCACCATCATTTGGCAAAGATAACTCATTTATTGATGCATTCCCTTCTTGATTGATAAAATGTCGGGGTTAGTGGGGCTGAAGGATTGAGAGATGAACGAAAGCTTGCAATGGAATGGAGATTTGGATTATTGTGAGGGTGGGGGGAACAAACTACAAGCTAATTGGGGGGTGGAAGATATCGTTGATGGAAGAAGTTGGGCGTCAACGTGTGAAAGAAGAAGATATGAGGAAGAGAGTGAAAATAAATTGAGGGTTGTCTATTGGGTTAGGGTTGTGTTGTTCATTATGTTGGGTCGGGGGAAGTGAACTTAACTCGATTCATGGGAAGAACCCGACTTAACCGACTTAATTTTGCTCTAATTGATATGAACCTTGAAATCGTACAAAATCATATAAATCCTATATTTTAAAGATTTTAGAGTTTTAAATCGAGATTTTATAGGATTTTAAGGTTCAAAGATTTTACATTAAAATTAGGATCGGAAACCATAGGTAAAATCGTAAAATCGAAAGATTTTAAAATTAAAATCGAGATTTTGACTACATCGGCTGCAGTAGATCTTATGTTTAGGTATACAAGGAGTTGTCTTCATGAGATTCTGGTACAACCATCTGTCTGTAAAAGATTGATACATTTGAATGGGGTTAATTGCAAGGATAGTCACTAGGCTTACTAAAACCGTTCATGTTTGATCACTGCAAATATTTAATTCCATTTATGGTCACTAAGATTAGTTCAATAGTTCAAGTTTGGTCACTCTCCGTTAGTTTTTGCTGATGTGGCAGTCAACTATTATAGTTGACCGTTAAATGAGTGATGTGGCCATTAAAAAATAATAAAATAATAAAATTTAAATATTTACAATTTACACCTCATTTTACAACTATTAAAAAATAAAAATAAAACTTGCCGCCGCTGCACTCATAACCAAATCTCTCGTCGCCGCTGTGCTCTCCGACTGGGTCAAGTTCGTCGACCTCCCTTCCAACGACGCCGCCGTCATGGCCATGGGAGGTCCCCACGGAGTTTGTCCCGGAGAGGTTCATCACGGCCGGTGGTAGTGGTGATGATCAACGGCCCGGCGAGTGGAAGCTGATCCCGTTTGGCGGCGGGAGGAGGAGGTGTCCTGGTGGGCTGCTGGCGAATCGGGAGGTTGGGCTGGCACTCGGATGTTTGGTCCAGCTCTTCGATTGGGAGAGGGTTGGCGGCGGTGGCGAAATTGACATGACGGAAACTTTGGGCGTCACCATGCCAAGAAATAGCCTGCTTCATTTGCTTTGCAGGCCCCGGGAATCCGCCGTGAAGCTTCTGTCAGCTCCACCGTCGTGCTTGGATTCCGGTGCCTGATGATCATCGTCTCTGTAACCCTCATCTTATATATTAGGGGTGATATGATTATTAATTAATTACCATGCATAGTCATATAATGTGTTTTATATACCCTGCTGTTAGTATAAGTACTAGTCTGTAAAACTTGACCCGGTCGACGAACTTGACCCGGTCATGGCCATGACGGCGGCGTCGTTGGGTGGGAGGTCGACGAACTTGACCCGGTCGGAGAGCGCAGTGGCGGCGAGGGATTTGGAGCGCAGTGGCGGCGGTAAGTTTTATTTTTAATTTTATAATAGTTGTAAAATGAGGTATAAATTGTAAATATTTAAATTTTATTATTTTTTTAATGGCCACATCACTCATTTAACGGTCAACTATAATAGTTGACTGCCACATCAGCAAAAACTAACGGAGACTAACGGAGAGTGACCAAACTTGAACTATTGAACTAATCTTAGTGACCATGAATGAAATTAAATATTTGCAATGACCAAACATGAACGGTTTTAGTAAACCCAGTGACCATCCTTGCAATTAACCTCATTTGAATGTGAAGTTAGGTAGTTTTTAAGTTCTTTATCGCAATTTTGTTCCCATTAATGTTTTCTGATAGTTGCAGAAACCATCAGTAGTATTCTTTTGCCTCCAAGGGTTACAGTAGGCTTTATTGTGACAAATATAATAAGAATGACTAAGGCATTAAAGAGAACCACACATTTCTATTGATCCATTGTAGTCTTTTGATCATTGCTTATTTGAAAGTGGAGAAGGTAGTTTGATTAATTTGAATGCTCCTATCTAAAGTGAGATATATATAAGCTTTCATTTTGGTTTGCGATCATATTGCAATGTCAATTATCATCAATTTGTTATATTTTCCTATTCCTTTCAAGTTTATTTTAATCATGTAAGTGACTCGCTCCTACCGTCACTCTAGAAAATGGCCAAGTGTAACCACCTCCTAAAGCGTAGTATAGCGGGTTTGGGTTTTAACGTCAACCCGGATCCTAAGTGTGATGACTACTTCGTGAGTTCTTATTATTTAGAAGTGAAAGTATAGTGAAGGTCCAAACAAGCAAACAAGCAAAGCAGTTAAAGGTTGTTTTCAAGTGTAGAGAGGTCACCCGGATATGGTTCCCCCTAGACTGCAGTTAAGCCGGATTGTAATTTACCAAGTTCAATTCCAATGATAGTTATACTGCGGGGGTTCTTAAACAGTCTGCAGTATCGACTAAAGGTCTCCAGACCCTCTCAATCTGAGTCCTCAGTGTAACATCCTGTTTCGGCAAAACTCATATTTCAATCAATATAAAGTTCGCGATTTAAAATCGAGCGTTTTGATAGTATTTCGACGAAAATCGGATTATCGATCGATCGAATAAGTATATGAATTAATTATATATATATTATAAATTAATATATATCGGTCGGGGGACGCATATATATAATCCTCCCTGTCCATTTATTCATCCTCATCATCTTTTCTCGTTTTCAGTCGAGAGAAGCAGAGAAACAGAGTCTCGCACAAGGGAGCTCGGCCAAAATTCTCCGTCTTAGCCCTAGTGATCCAAAAATCCCGTAAGTAATGCCTAATTCATCTGTATATCGCGATTTATCGATTTAGAGCTTTAAAACGAGTTTTTAGTTCAGGAATTTCTTGAATTCCCGATAAGTCAAATTAGGGTTTCGGAGTATCCGGAAGCCGGATTGAGCCCAAATTTCAAATACGAGCTTCCTGCAGTGAGGTAATCAATCCTCTAGTTCTAATCCCTGAATTTCAGCAATTATTTAGGTCGGGGTCCAAATCGCTGAATTTGCCTCCGGCCAGGGTTTGATGTGTTTTTATCAAGAATTTGACCCGGAGCCTAGAACTAATATTGACGGGGATACTGCAGGGGATATTAGGACGGTCTCGGATTTTAATTCGGGGTTCGTTCGTGAAATTGACGTTTTAGTACGGGAAGGTTAAACCGGTGTTTGAACGACCAGAACTGGTGAGGGATTAACACGGCACACCGGGTTTGTTGTATCACGATAATTATATTGATGCTTAGAATTGACCCAGGTGAACTAGAATGGCATGATTAAGGGTGTATGAACTTTTGTGCTATATGATGAATCATGGACTACTGTATGATATTATTGACTTGCCCTAATCGAGATGGACCTTGTTTATGCTGATGATTTCGTATATGTTGCAAATTGTGGGCTTGACTGTTGATTTGTCTTATGACGGTTCAAAAAGGTGATTGGGTATGATTTTTCATGATTGTTGTATTTGGATGCACATGTGGGAAAATATATATTCCCTGGTGATATTATGACGTTTAAGGAGGATGACTGGCACGAGGGTTTATCCCGAGGAAGTGCAATTATACGACTCCTGATTTACCTATGTTGAGTCAATTGTGGCCAGGTTAAGTACATGTGCAAGTAGCGAATTATGATTAAGCAAGATGAGATATGGATCATGGATAAGGATACCAAGTAATAGTACTTTGGCTTCATGGTCAATTACATAGTAATTAGGGCTTCCCATGCTATTACTCCGTTATGATATGTTATGTCACACCCTTTATGTGGCGTTGACCGTTGATTCATCATGAGATATGACCACACCCAGAGCGGTGTTGAGTCCGATATGACCACACCAAAGTGGTGTCAGGTCCGATATGACTACACCGGCAGTGGTGGGTCCGAAATGACCACATCCACGAGATGTTTGGTTCGTATTCCCGGGAGATTAATTAGCATGGGAATAGCCAGGCGCCTATGATTAAAACATGATAAGATGCATATGCATAAGTCAAGGTGGTTGAGTCTTTTGCCTATTGGTATATGAGGATAGCTGAGATCCGATCCTAGTGTTTTGGCTTGATTGTTAGATGTATGGTAGGGGTATGCTCTGTTATGAACTCACGATGCTATGATTATCTCACTCAACTATGAGTTGACCCTCTTTTATTCTTCTTCTCTTCTTATGCTATGTGTAAGCAAATCATCATCAGCAGCAGTAGATAAGTGTTAGGTGGGAGAGGAGCTAGAGTTGAAGCCATGATGAGGTATGGTCTTCAACTATTCTGTGCTTGGACGACTACTCGGGATTTTGGCCAGTGATCCACACATTTTTGTAAAAATGTTTTGAGAACGTTTCTAGCTTCTGATGTAGTGTGAGATATCCACAGGTGTGGAAAGTTGATGATATGTGTATATGTTGTGTAACTGTGTAAGTTGTGACGATTATGGTATGTATAAGTATGGTATGCAGTTGTGGAGTATGAAAAGTGTGACTATGGCTAAGAAAAGCCAATGCATATGGTTGTGAGTATATATGTTTGTGATGAATTATTTTGCAGGATAAGTTGCAAGAACTGTTAGCCCATTACGCGAGTAATTCATGTCAAAATTTTATTTGGGTAAATTTTGATAATTAATGTAACACCCGAGATTAAATTCCGCTGCAATTGTATGAACAATATGATTAGGCAAAACGTATAGGGTAGGGTGTTACACTCAGCGGGCGACTAACCTCCATCAGAGTAAACAAATTGAGGCCCTAACGAACCAAACCTCCACTACCGAATTAAATCCGGTACAGAATAGTGAATTGACTCCTCGACTAAAGTCGTCAATTCACTACCTTCAATCGAGGGTGCTCTATCAACCTTGGCAGATATTCTATTTCTAGGTTAAAGTAGAAACAATAGGAATTTGATCAGGATTCATGTCATTCAACAAATCAGACCTCAATTGAATATAATCATATCACTGAATTCGTACTTGGGTTCATACAATCAAACCTAACATACAAATCTAGGGTTCTTCATACACAGGTGAATAAGAAAGTTACTCCATAGAGAGATATGGGAAATCTAGCTCATATGCGGAAACCATACTGTGAAGGATGAGATTCTGCTTCTGGCAATCAAGCAGCTCTTCCCCAAGCTCAAGCCGGGTTCCAATGGTGATGGAGATTGATCTAAGGCACTTGAAGAATCAGGTTCGTCACTTTCTCTCTCTAGGTATACGCTTTGTCTCTCTAAAACTCGGTTCCTTCTCATTTGGCTCGAAATTGGGTTAAAAACCCAGAATTTCCAGACCACACGGCCAGGCCACACAACCGTGTGGAAGTGCAAAACGCCGTGTTTCACTTAAGTGGCTTCAGTTACGCTACACGACCAAAACCACACGGCCGTGTGGATTTCCAGTCTGGCCGTGTGAGCTCCCTGAACTTTCCACACGGCCACAAGGGGTCCCATACACGGTCAGTGCGATTTGCCCGTGCAAAGTGGTGCCACACGGCCAAGTCACATGGTCGTGTGGAATTTTAGGCGTGCCTGTGTGGAATTCCCAGCTTTTCGTCGAACGTCCCAACTTCGTCCAATCAACCCCGAACTCGTTCCCAAACCTTCATTCACGTACTAGGACCTGAAATATCACAAACAAAAACAACCTAGCGTGAAATCGTCCTAAAACACGAGAATCAACATCTCAAAACGGCTCAAGAATAGGGGTAAAAACACGTGCAATTAACGGTCTATCAGCAAGCATTATTTATTTTATTTTCCTCGGGAAGTAAGCAATTTGTATTGGATAATTTCTCTTTACTCAAAGTTGGGACAATCTCTATCGGATTTCGGGAAGGCTGCTAAGTTACTTGGTGCTTGCGAATCGAATGGTCTTGGGAAAGTACTAACCGAGCTTGGTGCTTAATCGGAGGCATTATCAATCCGGCTACAAAAGGAGGCAAGTCTTTGAGTTGACGTTGAGTTCATCTTTGTTATGCTGTTGTGGCCTTAGAGTAATGAGTTTATTGATCCTTATCTTCATGCACATGCAGGCCCATCAACTCCTAATGAATTTTGAAAAAACCTATGAAAGATTACATCCGTGTTGTGTAGTCAATTAAGGTTGGCGCTCTTGCGGTTGCACTCCCCTTTAGATGGCTTTATTCCTGCTGTCAATTGAATCCTTATACTTTATGGAAACTGATCATCCTGCTGCTTTCCAAA